CTTGGTTTTGGTTTTTTTTTTAATTGATACCAGGATCAGTTTTGTGGGAGAACATACCAATAATTCCTTGACCTCAAAAAAGTCTTTTCAAGTTTATTAAAAGCAGTTACAGGCATATTACATTACACAAAGGTTTCTCAACAGGAAAGAAGTATCAACAGTTCATTGTGTTAACTACAATAACTTTTAGAAACTTTGTATTTTAAAAAAAGTAATTCATGCTCAGTGCAGCCAACTTTGAAAACAGACAAACACAAGATCCTATCACACAAACATATATACAGAGGGTGCCCAAAAAATGTATACACATTTTAAGAAAGGAAAAAACTGTTAAAATTGTAATACTCAATATATACTGATAACAAAAGGTGAATACAAGTCACGTTTGACTTCTGCAATTATAAGAGGTGCTCAAAGTGGTTACCATCAGCTTCCAGACACTTCTGATTACAGCAAACTACTGCTTGAGCAACGTTGACCAAAGTGTCCACTTGGATACATTTTTTTGGCACCCCATGTATATAATATATGAGTATGTCAATAATATTACAAAAGTACTGGTGTTTTCCTTTCCAGTATTTTTATAATATAATATAATTAATATAGTATTAATATAATATATATGTGTGTGTGTTTATGTATACTCTTAATTCTTTTTTAAAAAGGAAATAATACTATGGATACAGTTTTAGTAACCTGCTTTTTTCACTTAGTATTAGTCATTGCCATTTCCTCATGCCACTAAATATTTTTCAAAAATAGACTTTTTTTTTTTTTTTTAGCTCAGCCATCCTTCCACCTGTTGGCAGCTCAGTGGCAACTCAACTCGGACTGGGGCTTAAACCGCTGTTGCTCAGAGCTCGCACTCTTCAGTAAGCTCTTAACCAATTGAGCCACTCAGCCAGCCCCAAAAATAGACTTTTTATTGTCTGCATTAAGTAAACTATTTTACTTTAACATTTATTCTATTATTGAACATTTAGATTTTCTCTTAAATAGTTGTTGCCTTCTCCAAAGGCCTGCTATATTAAATATTGTGTACTTGTTTCCACTTTAAGCCAGGGAGCCAGTGTTAGTATTGTCAGTTTCCTTTAAATCAAGACGGTGTCATGATAAAATGTGATTATCCTTTGGCAAATATCAATAATAAAACTCTCAGGGCCAGCCGAGTGGCGCGTTGGTTAAGAGCTGGCTTGGGACGCCAGAGGACCCTGGTTCGGATCCCACATATGAGGGCCAGTGACACTGCCCTCCACAGCTAAGATGCTGAACAATAGCTCAACCTGGAGCTGGGTTGCT